GGACAAACGCATTCGTGATTCCAATAATAACTTCCCCAGATGTGCCTAACGTGTCGCTTCCTTCTAAAATTGCGAATAATTTTGATGATCTAGTCTTAGCTGATCCTATGTTCTATGAAAGAAAACCAATTGATATTTTGTTAGGTGTAAATGTACATTTTACTATGCTTAAGGGAGATATCATAAAGAGAGGGCAATCATTGCCCTTTGCAATTTGTTCTCAATTGGGTTGGATTATATCCGGAAACACTATTACAGATTATTCAGATCTAACTACCACTTATACAGTGAATAATCTTCAGTTGAATACAAACGAATTAGTTAAAAGATTTTGGTCTTTAGACTCCTTTCCTGAAGTCAAACGTATCTCTAGTGAAGATCGAAAATGTGAAGAATTCTTTAAAACAACACAATGCCGTGATCAAAATGGTCGTTATGTAGTGAAACTTCCATTTAAAGATAACCCTTCAAGGTTGGGTAATTCTAAAGATCTTGCTTTACAAAGATTTAAATCTTTAGAGAGAAATCTCTTAAGATCTCCTGATACATATGATATGTATAAACATTTCATGAAGGAATACTTGGATCTCGGGCACAAGGAACCAGTCCGTAGTTCAGAGTCCCCAAGTCAGGCATACTACATGCCTCATCATGCAGTAATTAAGGAATCTAGATCTACGAGTAAAATACTGTGGTATTTAATGCTACTAGTAAGTCTTCATCAGGACTATCTCTTAACGACATATTGATGACAGGTCTCAGACTACAACAAGAGCTGTTTCCAGTTTTGTTCAAATTCAGATGTTACCCAGTAGTTGTCACAGCTGATATCATGAAAATTTTTAGACAAATTCTAGTTAATGAAGAGGATAGAAACTTTCAAAGGATATTTTGGCGGGACATTCCAAGTGATCCTATTCAAGAATTTCGACTTAATACTGTCATATACGGCACTGCCTCGGCTCCATATTTGGCTACTCTATTGTTGCAACGCCATCTATTGTTGCATCTATTGTTGCAGAATAACTATCCTTTAGCTTGGAAGGCTGTACTTCAAAATGTTTTTGAAGATGATTGTTTGGTAGGTGCTCAAAACACTGAAGAGTGCAAAAATCTAGTAAATCAACTCTTGCAAATGTTAGAACGTGGAGGATTTCTTCTGCGTAAATGGTCATCCAATGACTTGTCAGTGTTAGAGAATATACCCCAGGAGTTGAGAAATGATTCTGAGGCTATGAAAATTCAAGACGATAGCTCAATCAAAGTTTTAGGAATTAATTGGAACCCCCGTGAAGACTACTTTAACTTTTCCGTATCCATTTCTGGTGAAAAGTTTAAATACTCTAAAAGAGATATACTTTCTGGTTTAGCGAAAATATTTGACCCATTCGGTTGGCTTGCTCCTTGTATTATTTATGTCAAAATCTTGATACAAGACATGTGGAAACTCCATTTATCGTGGGATGAACCTATTAGTGATGAGATTGCTAACAAATGGAAGATTTTCCGAAATGATTTACATCTTATTCAACAATTAAAAATACCGAGATTTGTTTTGATTCCTGACGTGAACTATATTGATATCTGTGCTTTTTGTGATGCCTCCGAGAAAGGCTACTGTACAGCACTTTTCGACTGATCATGTTTCGACTTGGCGAAGGTAGGAAAGTGCTGAGCAAGACCAGTAATGTATTTCAAATTATGAAACTTGATCATTTCCAGGGTTTGTTATATCCGCTACATGTGGTATGCACAGTGCATACGAACAAGAAAGTAGCTAAACATGCTGCTACTTAATAGTAAAGAAAAACGAATGAGGAAATGGATTGTGCAGTCATTTTTGGATACGAAAAAGGTTTTTAAATATTAAAAAAAGAAAAACGAATGCTGCAGTCGAAATTTATTTTCCAAATAAAAATTAAAGCCAAAATACTGCTTGTTAGATTAAATGCATCAGAATGTTGAAAAGTGTTTGTAAACAGCGTTTAAGAAGTACTCCTGAAGAGAACAGCACTTATTAAATCATCGTATCACTTTCTATCAATTATCTCAAACTTCATTTCATAAGAAAGCTAATGATCTTATTTACGATCATTAGCTTATGATCTTATTTACACTTTCTAAATTTGTGATCTTATTTACGATCGCAAACACACCATTCAGCAATTAGTTTAATTTCATATTCTGCAGGTCCAATGTGTTTTCCAATTTTATTTTGGTTGACGATGAATGCATCCATACTTTACAGTCTCTTCAATATTCAATAAATTTCATGAGATAATTCAAATTTTATCATAAAACAGGTTTTCTATCATACAAAATATCAATCTTCTGACACACTTAAAGTAGATTAGGCTAAGTATTTTGACTTAACTTCAGTTTATGATTAAAAACATTGCAACCGCATCATAAGCTGAAGTATTATAACTTCAGCTTATAACGCGGTTGCAAAATGTAACCCCAACGTAGGGCGAGGAACAATGTATACTAAACAAAATTATTATAAGTTTAATGAAAGCATTAATGCAAATGTAATTGTTATAATTTTAATGAAAACATTAATGGAAAAGCATATCTTTATTAACAAAAAGAAGAAGAGGAAAAAATTCAACATTACGTAAATTGAAACTTAGAAATCATTTTGAAATTTAACAATAAGGATAAAATCCAAAATAAAATGTGACAAATGATAGGCTTTTCAAGGTCAAGAAAAGTGGAAAAACAAAGGTTTAAAGGGGACAATGGAAAGCAGAGAAATTTTTGAGAAAAGAATACAGAATTCCAGAGTAACTAAACGTGGGGTAAATTGAAACGTAGCGCGCAGAAGAGAATTGCAGAAATTATTAAGAACTAAAGAAAAATTAAAGAAAAAATAGCAAAAATTATCCATGCATCTCCTTTTACAGATTTTAGTTGCAATGAGGACTGTAATCATAGCAACAAAAACTTCCTTGTACTAATCTGTCTCCGACTGCGGTACTGCTACAGGCACTAGGAAGTGTTATTAAATATAAATATATCAGATCAGAGGTTCTCAATCTTTTAAAATTTTGTACCTTATAGACAAAAATATATGTACCAAAAGGGGTGCCATTTTAGAGTCATTTAAATTAAAATTTTTTAAAAAATTCTACCACCAAAATGAATGTAATATACCTTTAGTGGTACATGTACCATAGTTTGAGAAACTCTGCATTAGATCAATGGTTCTCGAGCACTTTTTTAATTTGTGTCACATTATACTTAATATATTTTCTACTCATGGCAAACTTCTTTAAATTTTCTCTTGTTTTCCCATGATAATGAGAATAATATTTTCTTTCACAACACATTTCCGCAATTTAGCTGTGCACTTTTTAACCATCACTATACTAGACGATAACATAGCACATGCGCAAGACAGATTATAACAAATCATACAGCGCACTGAAATGATACTCGTGTATGACGTTACATCGCTTCTCATTTGCAATTGTTCAGTAAAAACCTAACATTATTATTTAAGTTTTGGACACACGTTTTAGTTCATAGAAATAAAAAGTAAGAAAAAATTGATATGCAATTTCTGAATACATTTAGATACTGAATATCAAGTATGCAACGGCAGAAAATTCAGCTGGATGTGAGTATTCCCAAGACAGGACATGAAAAAAACAATAGTAATAATAGTAACTACACGGAATTCTTTCCTTCCAAAATGGTTAAATTTTTGCTTGACCATTTGATCATAGAATTAAAATATCTGATAAAAATTTAATATCTGATGAAATTCTTCATTTTCGAACTGCAAAGAATGTTATGATATGGTCCTCTATATCATGTATTCCGTAAAATCTTTGTGAAGGATTATTTAACAGCTCAGTGGCCTACTTTTAAGTCCTTAATTGCTCCCACGTATACAAACTAGCCTGTTATTAAAAGCGTCGAGATTCGGAAGGATCGAATTTCTCAAGACGGCTTTATGTAGCCAAACGCGAATTATTTTTGACTGTATGTATATAAAGTAATGCATTTCCTTTCCTTACCGAACAAAGTTATGGGAATTTTTTAAGCGGCAGTCGTGAACATGGATCCTAACATCGTCCTCATTCGCGGAATTATAGGACAATTTAAGTGCAAGATTTGCACGCATTTATTCACCTATTTCATGTTGTGTAAACGAGTTAGTTAATGAAGTATTTTTAAATTTATCTTTTTAGTTGCTTTAAATTTAAGAATTGACACTAAATGCTCGCTATTTGTACTTTGTAAAAAGCAGTTCTGATCAAAATGAGATGTCAGAAAGCCTTCCTAATTTCTTATGAATAAAGTTTATAAAGAAATAAAGAAATAAAGTTCTTATGAATAATGCATCAGATTTTGCTGTCTGCGTGAAAGCGCCAAAACTCATCTAATATTTAAAAAAAGTTAGACACTTCGGGAAATTTAAAAAAAAAAAAAAATTGTTTTCCCATAAGACTTTCAGTACTAATGCTATATATAATGAAGCATGAACGGAAACAAGTCAAAGGTGTGACACGAATCGCATATTTTCACTAAATCACAAAACAGCTATATATTAGTTGTCGTAAAAATAGCGATGTATCTATTTCAAGAAATTTTATTTTAAAGAATGTTTGTTTAAAGGATGATATATTAAAGCGACAAGTGATAAATTATTTCTGTTGACTTCCACACATCCTAAAAAAAAAACGTAAAATTATCATTAACAAATATACTATTCTAAGCGGGCATTTCTTTATATCATCGAATATTACTGACATTTAAGGATTAAAATTATTAAAAATTTAATCTAGCTAGAAATAACACATAGGTTGTATTAGAACCAAAATCATTCTTGACAGAAAAATTCGACGAAGTGTTAATAATGCTGGCAACTCCAAGAATGCATATAAACAATTGAAGCTTGCATATAAACTATTGAAGACGATGGATATTGATCCAAAGTATCCAAAAACGATACATATAACAACGGAAACTCTTATCGATAGTTAACTTACTCCCAAAATTCAACGACTGCAGATGTGTCCCTGTTAAGTCCAGTCACATTTTTGACGACCAAGGTGGCATTGCTCCCGATGAGACGAATGTCCTGGCAGCCTTCGGTGTTCCAATAACTATTGCAATGCTGCCAAGGCAGAAGCGCCGTGAAGGACGCAACGAAATAAAAGCAGACCCAGGTGACAATCACGATAAAATAGATGTTGTACAAGGCTACAATAGTCATCGACGCATATCCAATACCTGAAACGACAAGATTCATTTTAAACATAAAAGTCATTTCAAAATTTCTACTTTTGTATACGGGTTAAAATTTCTTTCTGTAAATACTAACAAGGAATGGAGCACTTCATCATGTGACGTAAATATTCTGTATCCTAAGCTTTCAGCTGAAAATTATTTTTAGAAATCAAAATGTTCAAAATTTAGAAATCAGCAGTTGAAACTCTTTTCCGAAATTAAATTATTCAAAGTTTAATAACTCAAATGACCCATTCATAGAGAAAATATCTCAATTGCAGTGTGATTTTAATAACCATAAATTTTAAAAGTAAAATAAATCGAAAATTTGAAGCTAGTGCATATCTAAATTATGCCTGATATTGATATATATGATTAGAACAAATCCAAATTTATTTTAAAAAAATGTTTATTTCTTTGAAAATTATTTATATTTATTAACAATAAAATTTTCTTGACAGTATTTGTCTGTTCTTTTGAAGGAAAGTTTTCGCTCTTTAATAAAACATGTATGCTTTTTAATCGATGAGGATTTAATTTTTGTATTATGCAGAGTCACAGTTACTTACCTTTGAAAATTGGTACCAATTTCCAAATACCTATGCCTCCTAAACTGAGATATTGTCCCAGAGATACTTCCATGACAAAAGAGGGACCAGCTAGCAATACCAGACATATCAAGTACGGAAGGAGAAAAGCTCCTGAAATGATATTAAATATTCAAAGATTTAAATATTTTGGTTATGAAAATAAAAATATCAGAAAATGTTACACAATTGAAAAGCAAAAAATAAACCAGAAAATTGCAAATAACCTTTAAGAAAAGTTGAAACCTTACAATGGCGAAGACTGCTAGAAAATATTCTAAGGCAAAGGTTGCCAAATTGTGTTACGCGTATCTCTTGGGGGTACATGAAGACTTTGCCAGACGCACGCGAAAAACTAATCAGTAATAGCGGAAAATAACAATGTTTAATTACTTTATAAATGATGATAAAAAGTAAAATATTCAGAAATCTTATTTCATATGGGACTAAGGAAGAGTGAAACAATTTCACTATTCCGTTATGTGACTGTTACTGACGGAACCGCATTCAAAAACAATATAATAAGTTGTCGCAAACTCTGCCCACATCTGTCAGGTAACTCGATTTCGTAATGCATCATATACAGCAGCTCTCTTCCCTGCTGTCACAACGTATTGTATACCCTACGAATTGTAGCAGCTAACTATATTTTCAGCAATGAGTGACTTATCAAATAAGTTATTTAGCTCTCTTTCATGTGATATTCAAATAAGTTTGAGTGTGGAGTTTTGTTTTAAATTCGTATTATTTAAAAGCTGTTAAATATACAGCGCTGTTTGTATGATAATGGATAAATAGTTACTTAGTAGATCTTTGCACATAGCAGAAATTACTTGTTGTATTATCAATGTTTTTTTTTCAAAATATAAAACAAGTCTGATAAAACTCCATATTGTTTTGAAAAATAAGTAAACTTAGTTTAGCATTACAGAATAGTTCCGTTTTCATAACGCCTAACAAAATTATGCCCTAAAAGTTTAATTTTGGGGAATCATGCATTAAAGAAAATCAGACCGAAGACACACCACAAATTCTTGCCAGAAAAATGAGTTTCAAGAATCAAATGAAATCAAAGAAACATAATAACCAACTTAAAAAGCCTCCAAAGGTTGTTAAAATATCGCCTTGCCCAAACCAACTGAGAAGGGCAGTTGGATTTCAGATCCTTTCAATGACGATTTCTCAAATTATCGTTTTCTGAAAAAGAACGACTTATAAAATTCTGACTTTATTCGTCGCAGTTTATTAATTTCATGGCATTAAAATGATATCATGATGAGATATATTGCTAAAATACTGGGGGGGGGCTGAGGGAGTCATATGTTCTCTATAAATCTAAAGCCTCCTTAAGGAGTATGGGAAAGAAAAAAGATTATTCTGAGGAATCATATATTAAAAGATGATAGTCTTTTTAATAACTATACTAATAGATTTCTGAAAAGGATATATATATAATAACATAAATGTTTAATTACTTCTTTAATAAAATACATAATATTATTTTTTATAAGCTAACGTCATTCACAGGATTTAATGATGCAGTAGATTAAACATAGATCAGTCAAAAACACTCATTAAAATATAATAAATTTTAAGTTAAACTTATTGAGGGAGAGGGAAAATAATACAATATGATATCAAAGATGCAGGGAGCTGAAACATTTTTAATATTATATCATTTCCTTTCAGCGCGAAATTAATGTAAAGATTTCTTCAAGATCACTTCTTTAGAGAAAATATGTTAGTTAATTATTAAGTTCCATTAATATTAGAAAACCCTTTATCTTAAATATTAAATTATTTTATATTTGTTTTTTTCAAGTTTTTATGCTATATCATTTAACATTCGTATGCATTTCTGAGTACAGTAAGTGAATATACAGATTCTGAGGGAATTTATTTAATATTATGGTACGTAATTAAAACCATATTTGTAAAAGCATTTTGATAGAAGAAAATAATATGCACACAATTAAAATAAGCCTGAAAATTTCTAAAATGTGGTGAAAGATAAAGTTTTCCAGCTGCAGAGGAAATATTAATGTAATTTACGAAAAGGTACTATAAAGATCTGATTTTGATTTAGTTTGTTTAGTTCTACAGACCTGTTATTCAGCATCTTTTTTGTCGCTGAACGTACTGAAAATGATAGACTTTTTAATTTGCCCCAGTAACATACATTTATATTGAATTTTTTTTTAATTATTTTTTCTGAATGTTTTCGCTGCTGATGATTAAAACAAATTTTAACAGAAATATGGTTCTTTCTATAATTATAAACTAAAACTGAATGAAAAGATAACTAACAACATTATTAATTACTACATTTAGTACTACTACAAGTTGCCCTAGCCAAAAACCGGTGACTGAGAGTTCCTTTCTCTCTACAATAGGTGGCGCTGTATTCTAACTTAACAGCGATAGGCCTTACGCAGAGATAGAGCTTGAAACAGTATTTTAAGCACTGTGCTCCAATTAATTTGTATTATAATTTGTTAAAATGGGATAACAAACCGTTATCTTTTTTAACAAGTTTTGTAAAAGCTTTTCATTGTTTGAATGCTACGGTTTCCAACAACTATACGAACATTTAAAACATCTTGCTTTCTCTAATGTGTAAATGTCACGAAGTTTAAAGATCTCGACAAATTCACAAAATGAACAACAAAAATATTAAAGATTTTTTATTACTATTCATTAAAATTCAGTCTGTTTGTTATGGGCTATAAAGCGTGGGAGAGGGCACAGAATGTGTAAAAATTATATTTTGTACTATTAGAGCAACTTACCTCCACCATTCTCATAGCAGAGATAAGGAAACCTCCATACGTTTCCAAGACCGACGGCATAGTTGATGACACTGATAAGGAAATCCAGCTTGCCGCTCCACTGACCTCTCACTTCATCATTTTTTACCGAGTTGTCCGAGCTGGACGATGTGGAGATGTCTACGACCGAACTCGTCTTTCTTTTTGAAATGCAAACCGGTCCATTAGATGCTGGTGTATGTCCGTTGGTGGCGATGCCACTTTTTGTGTCACCCAGAGACTGGGGGCATGTTTGGGTTGTATTGGCCATCGTGGCTTGAAGTCCTTCACCAAAGAATTTAAGGAAACAGGAAACACCGATTCGACATCAAATTTACAACGCTTAGAAAATCCTATAAAATTCACACAGAAATGTTAGAAGTGCATTAACTCTCTATACTGCTTAGAAGATGAACTTATAAAAAATCTATAGTCAACCCCCCCCCAAATAAACACAACTTTCACATTATTGCTATTATTTATTTATATTTATTCAAACTTATTATGTTGCACTTACAGATAAATATCCCGGTAATATATTTTAAACTCACTATTAGGAAATAACAAAACCGCGGAAAAAGCACATAACGAAGAGAATCCATTTTTCCATTTGTCGTAGCATTAGTTTAGTTTCTCGCTGATATTATGTTCTTGGTCCCCCCCCCAGACACATATTCAGTTTTTTTCGTCAAAACCTACATATTCTCATCTGTATTTCTAGAGGGCATGCAGACAATCACAGATGTAAAATATTTCTCAGTTATTTTAGTACAGTTCTAGGTTTAAAATTATTAACGGGGAAAACGCTACTTCTGTCATGTAGCGCCTGGAACTTAGTAGCCACTATATGAGAGGAGTACGTATTAAGAAAAAAAAAAAAAAAAAAAAAAAAAAAAAAAAAAAAAAAAAAAAAAAAAAAAAAAAAAAAAAAAAAAAAAACAAAAAAAAAAAAAAAAAAAAAAAAAAAAAAAAAAAAAAAAACTAGCGTGATGTTTACTAGTTATCCCTATAATTTCTGTAGCCAAGTTAATAGAGGAATCCAAAAAAGATAGATAGACTGCAGTACATAAACAAAAGTAAAAATCTGATGTGTACACCACATGACTTTCTTGTATTATTATACGCATTTATTAAATTATACGCATTTTTTCTTGCATTTCATTTAAACGTATTGGAGTGAATTAAATCTACTTTGCCGACAGCACATAAACCACAGTAGAATAAATGTATTCTTTAAAATTCATTCTATTTGTTTATCATAGCGACATTCTGGCGCTAGGTTCACTTAACAGTATTATATTTCGTTCATATTATAACTCAGAATGCAAAAAATTTACATCATTTAAAGAATTATCTAATCGTTGCCACATGTTCTATTCAAATACTATAATAAAGCTAAAATGATGTATAAAAAATTAAGCAAACAAAACAAAAAAGAAACAGTTTTTCACAGATGATTGAGTATTTCTCATTCAATTAATTCAGTTCTCATTTCGCGAAAAGGCAAAAATACATAAAAACTCAAAGTATCTGTATTAAAAATTACGAAGTAAATCTTAAACACTTATTTCCTGGAAAAAATTCCAGAAAGGATTAAGCATGATTTAATTCGCAATAATAAATGAAGGCATTATCTTTGTTGTTGCAAGCTAAGTTTCTCTAGATTGGCAACAAATCCACTATCCCTCTGTTTCAAATGTAAACAAGCAATGGCCGCCATGAAGAAACGTATTAGGCTTAGCGGCACTTAAACAACTTTAAAATTGTTGATAATTCTAAAAATATTGCATAGAGATTTACTAAAGGCATAAAAACCTTAACCGGAAGATAAGAACAACATAATTCAATAATTTTTAAAGCCAAAAATGTACAATTTACAGACATATAAGAGTAAAGAAACTGAGATCACTGAGCCGGGTAACAGAGTGGATATATATATAAATATATTTATATACGTTTGGTGCGGCCGATTGCAACCAAAATACGAGGTGCACATCTACATGTTTATAGCAGTCCTATATAAAAAATTTCAACGTTCTGAGGCTACTCGTTTTTGAGTTATGCGAGACACGTACGTACGCACGTACGTACACACGTTCGTACAGACGCCAAGAAAAATTCTCTTCAGAATTCATTTTAAAACAGTTTTCTAATTTTTTTGAAGGAAAAGAGTATTTTATTCTGTCCTTACGTACAGATATCACGCAAAAACATCGTTAAATAGCATTCGATAGCGGTCAAAATGGATATTTTCATTGAAATATGCTGCCTGAAACTTTTCGCGATTACAATACTTTCTTTTTACTTAGTACAAGGAAGTAAAAATGAAACAAAACAAATATAAATAAAACAAAAGAAAATAATAATAATAAACAAATTAGTAACTATAACAGTAAAACAAAACCAAAAAATTAAGTCTTAAAAGGAGCAAATTTAAACTTAAGGAGTATAAATAGAACAAAAAACTTAAGTCGGTTTTGTCGGAAGATAATTGAGCTTTTCTTCCTTGATGTGTAAAATCCGTATCATGGTTGAAAAAAATATACTCAAAATGTTTTAATTCACTGATTTTATTATGCCTAATTTTTTTATGATGAATTTAGCCCTACATTTGATTTAGAAGTTTCTTGAAAATACTACTGGTTATTAAACAGGGTTCATAGCCACATTTTAGTTAAAAAAATAAGCACCTATAAGCACTTTTCAAGCACATTTTAAGGAAAAAATAAGCACCTGTCTAATTATATATTACACAACTGCATAACCTTAAAAGAAAAATTAGACTTGTAATTTAAAATATAAGCAATGCAATATTTATTAAAAAAATTACCTCAACCATGGAAAACAATTAAACTTTTTTTTTTTTTTTTTTTTTAATTTTAAATGACAGTTCAATTTACAGAATTAGTTTACAATGAGAGAAAAAAAAAACTATGCAGAACTAAACTATATTACAAGATTTAATGATGAAATTTCAATTCAAAATATAGAAAATAAATAATAATAAGCCATACCAATTGTATTCGTTTGGCACGTAATAAAAAATACAATTTATTTTTTCACTCATATTAATATTTAAATAATTTAACTTAAATCAAAATTCTGAACAATTTCTAAATTTTCATTGCATAACTGTTTTCCCTTAACATATATTCCAAGCAAAGTAATTTAAGTAAAAAAGAGGCACATTTCTGAAATCAGAAGACGGGAAATTGCTTCATGCAGTCTCCTTTAACAGTAAAAGCTTAACTAACTCGCATACTCGGAAATTGCCAAATATTCCGGATAGTAACGGGAAAAAGAGGAGTGGGGGGAGGGAGAGATTGTAGCCGTTCTTTAGATTTCTCGGCTAAATAAATGATTTTGACATTTCGATATGTGCATCATCAGACCAACGGAACTGAGAAATATTCCACTTAGAAAGCACAGAAAAGTGTTCATAAACAAATCTTTATTATAATCTTTATATCATAAACAAATTCATAAACAATCTTTTAAGTGTTCATAAACAAATCTCAGACGAAACATCAAAATTAATTATCTCTACAAAATACCGCAAAATGTTATTGCGCAATACGTGCGGCGTAAGTCTTCCACATGTGATATTACGCAATTGGAATCAACAGCTGCCGTTATTCGGAGAATAAAGAACTAAATAAAGGAAAAGAAAGACCTACTAATTTGGGGTGTTTCTGATTCTAATTTTCAACAGACTGCGTTAAATTTCCGGAATAAAATCAATCTTCGCTTAGGTTGGGTAGACCGCAAAAACTTTCAGTCCTATTCAATCCAGATTGGACAGTTGGGGGGGGGGGGGGGAGGATCCGCTGCTTCAATATTAGAGATTTTGCGGAGAAAGTGGAGAACCTCCCAACCTCCGTACTGTATAATGTATTGGGGGAGGGGAAAGAAATTATTTTGATTATTCGATTACCTTCCTTTTATTTAAGCCAATATTATTCCCTAGAAAGCTAATCTGTGTAAAAACACACCCATTTTTGGAAGTTTATCTACACTTCAACTATATTATTATAAATATTCATGCATATACTGATAATATAAGCATAACGATCATAATAAACACGAATATGAACTGACCACGCGGAACGAGAATGCAAATTATTAAAATCTTGATAGAAATTCAAACGTGTGTAGTATTTGGGTGGGAGGAAAAGAATACCGAATGTAACGGAATTTTCTACCATTTTCGCAATTCTTTGACCAATAGAACGACGTGCACCTGCCTGTACTCTCGCGCGCACCGTAGGTTACGGTAATGCGGTAATGAGAAAGGGGAAAGAGGGGAAAGCAATTTCCGGGAGTATGATTCACCATCTGACATTGCATATAAGAAAGAAAAGTTGTTTATTTAGTTTCGGCTTCGGTACCGGAGGAAAAAAATGCACGCTCATTAACAAAAAAAAAAAAAAAAAAAAAAAAAAAAAAAAAAAACACTAAAAGCAAAAAATAAGCACTAAAAACAAAAAAATAAGGGCTTAAAGAAAAAGTAAGCACCTATAAGGGCCTTTATATTTTATTTTCAAATATAAGGACTTATAAGCACTTGTAAGGACCGCTACGAACCCTGTTAAACAAATAAACTGAAACTCCCGATGTACTGGACCACGTCCCATTCAGGTGCGCAAAAATATGAAAAACTTTTTAATATATGGAAGCTAATTAATGAGATCCCCGGTTAAGAATAAGATAAATTTGAGATAACACTGTAATAATTCATATAAAGTCTGAAGCATCATACATCAGCAGGATATTCAATTAATTCTTTTTTGATGTGAACATTTAAATCTCTGTGTAAAGTCCTTTTAAACCTATTTTAAGAAAATCTGCTTTGACTTTCCTTACATACCATAAAAGCAAACCTTAAGCGTATGTCGCGTATGAAACTGCCATTGTTTTGAAGTAAAATGAATTACTGTCGCCACCGCAATTTTTAAAAAAGTTTATTTATTTTTAAGAATTAACTTTAATCGAAAATAAATTTTGTTGAACTAAGTGAAGCTTTCACACTTCTGTTTTTCTCTCGAATACCAAGAATGCCCTCTAAATCTTGATATCTCTATTTCGGAATGCGTAGAGAGCATTATTCGACCCAGATACAAAATCCATTTTCTGCTTATTCAAATTGTTAAAAACTTCAAGTAAGATGACTGGTAGCTACATCCGGCTAAAAAAATAATATCTTCGTTTTGATGATGCAAATGACGGAACAAATGCCTGATTTAAATATAAGAAACCATTTGTACTCCCTCGAGAAAAGGCCTACTTTCGAAACATTAATCTCTTTGCCAATGAGTATGCCATACTATTCATTTCCTCGCGACCAGCTTTATCT